GGTCCGCGGCGGCGGGGGGCGCGGGCTATATTTGGTGGGGCTGCTGCAGCCCTCCCTGTATGGGCGGCCTCCCCGAGGGGAGTGGGGAGCACGTGCGCTCTGGCCGAGGCGCTTTCCCCTGTTCACAGCACCCTAAACACTCCCCGACCCACACCCGCCCTTGGGCGATGACTAACAGCCCGTGCAGGGAAATGGAGGATCCGCTCCAGGGCCAGGCTGGGCTCCCTGGGTTCGCCCTACCTCTACCCCGGCCCCCAGGCGTGGGAAAACCAGGCACAGACTTTGGTAGCCTCCCACTTCCTAACCCACGCCTGTTTCCCCATCCGAAAAGTGGGTTGATCAGGAGCCTCCCTGGGTGTTGGGCCAGCCAAGACACAGGGGCTACAGAGTGGAAGGGAAGTCTTTAGCTCTGGCCGGGGCCACCAGGGGTGGCTGGAGTCGGTGAGGGACGAGGGGGGGAGCGGAGGGGCCGCTGTCCTCCTCTCTGTCCCAGAGGCACCGAGCTTCGTGGCCAGGAGGCCTGGGCTGAAAGGGTCCCTCTCCTGGTGATGGCCAGAGTCAGGCCTGTTGGGCAGGAAATGGCCGTTGGCCCACCCCAAGGCCCAAGGGCTTGTCCGTGCTGAGCACAAGGGTGGGTGGTCTTGTGTCTATTGGGGCTGGGGAGTCCAGGGTCCCAGCTTCACTTCACAGGCCTGGGAGTCAGGTGGGGGCTGGCCTGACCGTGCTGGGAGAGGAACTGTTCTCCAGCATGGTGTGGAGGAGGCTGGGCTGGACTCCCTCATGGCCAGCAGGAACTGAGGAGGTGCTAGGAGGCCATGGCGGATGTCTGCCCCCAGAGAGGCTTTGAGTGCACAGGGGCACTGCCTTGGCAGGTGCAGTCTTTCCCCCAGGGCTCTGTGGTGTGGACAGTCTGGGGCGGGCATCTGGAGGCCTGATCTCAAGGCAGACTTGGTAACAACCCCATGTGACCTTGGGCAGGGCCCACCATCCAGGCCACCCAGAAAGCCATGTGGCCTGCATGGTCAGGCCAGCCCCCACTGACTGAAGCAGGGCACTTTACTTTGGAGGTGCAGCTACCAGAGGGCTCTATGGATCCCGGCCCAGCCGTCAGGCCGGACGGTTCCCCCCCACTGGCCTGCACTGACCCTTATGCCAGGCTTGGCTGGCTCAGCGGTGGGTTCTGGGGTGACCTGGCCACGTGGGACAGAAGGGCCAGTGCCGCCCCCTCCAGTGAGGAGCCAAATGTGGGCTACACTCTGGGCCCCAGCGGGGGCCTTCTGGGCGGTGGTGAAAAGCCATTGGAGGTGCCCAGGCCCTGGCGCAGGGGCGGGGCGGGAGCAGATAGGGCTCGTGGAGTCCTCCCAGCGTCACCTGCCCCAGTCAGCCCCATCTGTGAAATGGGCCACGCCGGGCAGCCGCACGCACAGAACCGCGGGGGCCCCTGCCCCAAGACCCGCGGTTCACGAGTCGACG